ATTTTACTGTGACAAGAAAATATTAGAACTTCTAGAACTTTTTTTAGATTTATTTTTATTTCATACATTTTATTTTATATTTTTATAACGTATAATATATTTAAACAGTTATATGTCTATATATAATTTACAAAATATACTAATATACATTTATTGCAAGTATATGCTCAAAATATTTTTACTACTGTGTTCATGATTTTAAAAATTTGGCAGTCAGAGGCATAGAGAAGCAGTTAATGCAAATAATAGTACTAGCTACTATTATATTTACTATGTACAAAGTACTGTTCAATTGTTTTATTCATATTAACTTACTTAATTTCCCCAACAACTCTGTGAGGTAGGTGCCATATTAAGGTACCATGTTGTTCCCATGCTGCAGATGGGAATACTGAGTGATAGAGAGGTTGGGTGGTTTACACAGAACTTCTAGTGGCAAGATGGGCACCCAAGCTGGTGGGCCCCCAGACTCTGTGGTCTCAGCCAACCCCGGGCACTGCATCTGGCAGTAATTGAACAGAGTGAGAGGAGAACTGGATTTAGTGTTCTGAGGGCCACGTATGGGAGCTCATTCTCCTCACTCCTGTGCTAAGAAGCATTCTTTGTTCCCTGTGGATACTCTCTTATCTTGAATTAGTTCTGCATGCCAGGTGTTGGGGCCACAAAGATATATTAGACATGTATTCTGCTCTCAAGAAGCTACCGTCAATGCAGATGATAGCTATGTAAATAGCTATAATATGAGTAGAAAGTGAGAAAACTAAAAAAATAAAAAGCTACAGGAATTTGGAAGGGGCATTTCTTCCACAGGGAGGAATTGGGGAAGACTGTGGAGTCTACTTTGAAGCTAAATCACCATATAATTTTGTAACAAATTTCACCATGAAAGTATCTTTGGAAATACTCGCTTTGGGCCTTGCCCTTACGCCTTTTACCTTTCACAGAGTCTTCTGCATATTTAAAAGCAGTGTGCTCCTCTGAGGCTGGGCTTTAGCTAAGCTTTGCTCACCTGGTCTCCCAGGCAGGGGGGTAGGAATCTAGAGGGGTGGGAATGCAGGGGGTGGGAATGCAGGGGGGTGGGAATGTAGGAGCAGCATCTCAGCAGGAGGGTCCAGCCCCAGGCTCTGCAGAGTTCAGTTTTGGTGCCCAGGCCATGCCCACTTCTGCCTGCTCTGGTGCCTAGTGGGAACAAGGCCATCTTTGGTGGAGTGTAGCTCTACATCTCATGGGATATATGAGGCCCAAGAAACTGGGGTTTTGTATTTAGTGTATAACTTAAAATTGTGGAAGTTGAGTTTTAGCCTTGGAGGCAGCCAAAAATGGTCTTCATCATAGAAAATGGTTCTTGATGGCACAAGATTTTTCCAGAATTATCAGCAAACAAAAGGAAAAAACTCCAACTTTGCGAAAGAGTTAATTGGGACCTGATGAGGCAAACAGTCAAGAGATGGTGCTATGAGTATGCACCATGAAGTGAGCTTTTTTCAGGCTAGGAGCTGCCACCTGTCAAGGTGGTTTAAATCAGGATTTTGGCAAAAGCATATTATTATGACAGTCAATAAATGTGAGTGAAACTCAGTCTCCTATACATACCCAATTTAGGAATGTAGTCAGTAAGCTGCTGCACTGTGACTCAGCTCAGAAAACACAGAGAAAAAATGATTTAACTCACTAAGAGATATGAAAGTTTTCTTCCAGATTGTTAACCCACAGCAAAATTGGCCAATATGTGAGAGAGAAGCCAAACTATAATTTTTGCATTTTCTCTTCATATTTACTTTAAAAGATTTTGACTTGGAAGGAGCTTAGTATAGCACTTTCCAGGAAAAGAAAATCAACAGCATCGATAGATGTGTGATTCTACAGCACTGGACCCAGAAGTGCATGTAATAATCTTATCTCTAGGGGAGGAAATGGAATTCATGAGTGATTATGTTGAAACATGCCTGCAGACTTAATATGACTTATGTGTCCCTTATGGAAAATACGAATTGTTAAGAGAGGAAAAGTTCTGACTTTAGTTCTTAGATCTGCCACTGATTTAGCATAAAGCCTTGGACCAATCTTTGTGTCTCAGATTTTCCATGGATGAGATTGCTACCATGAATGTATCTTAGACCTTGTAATCATTTTTAAAGTTATTTTTAAATATAAACCCTCTGAGAAAGTTTGGCTTCACAGAAAATAAAAAGACATAAAGCAGAACTGATTCAAGCCCTCCAAGACATTGGCAGATGCTACCAAAGGGGGTTTTCAGACATTAAGAGCCTTCAGTCTCCCTTTAAAGCTTGTTTCATCTTTCAAGAAATTATTCTTATAGTTTAAATATTCTTTCTTGCTTTAAATTTTTTCTGGTTCCTCCAACTCTATCCATTCTCTAAGTAGAAAACAATGTTATCCTACTCCTTGCAACATAAAAGAATTCATTATTAAAACTGACTTAATTTTCTTGAAGACTGGTATTTATTGAGTGCTTACTATGTTCTCAATATGATGCTTGGGAAAGGGATATAAAAGCTAGCACAATTCCAGACAATTCAAGAGAGACTTATTGCATTTTTATTGAAAAGTGTATTGAATCTGCAAGCTGAGACCTCCGATGCCAGTCATTCAAAGGGAAATTTGCTTCTGCACCACCCTGGGCATTCCCCCTCCGCTTGATCACCTCCAGTCTCCAAGCTGTCTCCTGACAAGCTGCTCCTTCCAATTTTTGCCATCACTTGGTTGCCAGACAAGACAGATTTCCATGCAAAGTTAGGCACAATACAGGAATGAGTCAAATACTGTAAGTGCTGAATCAGTTGAAAAAGACAAGTTCTGCATGAGATCAAAGGAGGAATCACTGTTGGCCCTTCTGGTCAGGAAAAGATGATTTGGGGTTAATTAACTGTGTTTTAGTTTTTCTCAAAGTACAATACAAATGTGCATCTTTATATTAGTGATGTCATATGCAAATCCCAATAATAGTTAACATTTATTTTATTCTTTTTAATGGCTTTAGAATTTTTTAAAATCGACAAGTAAAAATTATATATATTTATGGAGTACAACATGATGTTTGACATATATACACATTGTGGAATGGTTAAATCAAGCTAATTAACATATCTATTACCTCACATATTTATTATTTTTTTGCACTGAAAACATTTAAAATCTACTCTTTTAACAATTTTCAAGTATACAATACATTGGTTAACTATAGTAACCACGTCGTACAATAGATCTTTTGAACTTTTCCTCCTAACTGAAAAAAAAGAAAGAATGCTTCATAAATTTGTGTGTCATTGTTGAGCAGGGGCCAAGCTAATCTTCTCTGTGTTATTCCAATTTTAGTATATGTACTGCCAAAGTAAACACTAGTTGGTTTTCATTGAGTGCTTACTATGTGCCAAGCACTAACCAGTGTGCATACTTCCTCTCAACACTGTATTTAAAACTTTATAGATAACTAGAGAATCTATTTTTCCTAGGAGCCACATCAGGTCTGTGTGTGTGTGTGTGTGTGTGTGTGTGTGTGTGTATATGTATATAATTTCATGTAATCCACACAACCACCATTTGATATGGGTATTATTATCCCATATGATTACCCAAGAAGGCTTGGAGAGGTTCAGTAACCCAGACAGTGTCAGAGCCATGCTTTTGAACCTATTCTTTGTGTTGCTACAGTTCTAGTCTTGTTTGCTATGCTGAACTGCCACTCCTGGAAATTTTCCCTGTACTATTAACTTGCTAAAGAAAATAGCTGGCTAACTAGTTCTTTCCAGTCTTCTTTAGGGCTAAGACAAGAGAAAATTGGCATAAGCAGTGGGAGAGAAGCCCACTGGTGATTTTATCTCTAAAGTCATCCAGATGGCTATGAACTGATCCAATAGCCCAGGTCCTTTCCTCAGTCCTGAAAGGAAAATGACATGTAGTCCAATAGACATCCATTTTATGTATAAATAAGGAATGTCTCACTAGCAACCCTAATCCACTAGGGTTACTAAAATCTAGTATTTATAATTAAAATGAATGGTAAACTATTATTTATTGAGATCTCTAATTTAGTACTCTAAGAACTTGCGCTGCTTCACAATGAGGCAAAATCTTTAGAGTAACTGAACACATGTAAGTAGTTGTAATTCTTAAAATTTGAGGGAGAGACTTTTCTTATAAGTGTTATCTTGAATTGGTCACAGTTTCCAATTTCTACTCCTCTTGCTTTATTAATATATTTTTACAATTACTGTTAGGTTTACTTTTGTGAATCATTTTGTTCTTGCATAACTGCTGAGTTATAAACTTTTAACTGTTATTTCCTCAGGGATTCTTATCACTCAGTTCTTTTTTTAATGAAAAGTAGGAATGAAAGTTAAGATGTTGATTTAAAGGGAAGAATTTCCAATGATTTCCAGGCCTTTTTCTAGCCCTAGAAATTTCAGATGAACATTCAAAACAATGCTAGAGAGTAGGTATAATATTCTCTAATTTAAAGAAGAGGAAACCAAGGCTCAGAAAAGTTAAGTGACTTGCTAAGATTTAAGAGGTAATAAGTGGTAGAAATGAAATTAAAACTCAGGTCTGTCTGAGTCCAAGCAATGTGCTCTTTCCATTACATTCCACTGTCAAACCCTGGAGTGTTTGCCATCTAGTCTTATCTCTAGACTTCTTTTCGTCCACTCATTTGGCTTAATATAACTCCAGTCATTACTGACTACATAAGTAAAATTTTCTTAGTGCTAACTTCTAGAAAACTAAATTTCATTAGCAGGAATTTGAATATTACTCAGCTATTAAGCTGGTGTGTGATTATCTTTTGCTGTAAAGAGATTTTGGATATAATATGTTTTCCCTTTTTTTGGTACCAATATGTAAAATCTGTATTTCAGGGACTAAAATGTATTAACATATCAAGTAAACTGCTATAGGTAAGATGGCTCTAGATGTACATAACATTCAAGTAAAGATGAAGGAAAAGAAAAGAAAAAAACCTTTGACCTTGGAATTTCTTGCAGGCATTCTGCAAAAGCTCACTGACCTTGGAACTCTTGGATGTCTCTTATTGCTCCCAGCTGTCAGATGGTATTATTAAAGCATTGGCCATTTACTGCATTAAGCTCACGTCTCTCAGCGTTGCTGGCTGTCCAAAGGTATGTACAAGAGTCAGAGCTCAGACATGTCAAATTTAAGCACTGCCAAGAAATGCAGGCAGGACAGCACTCCAGGGGCTGGACTCATCATAGAACTTGTTTTCTTTGCCATGTTTGAACTATTCATTAGATTTTTTTTTTCTATCTCCAAATTGGAAATAGTTTTATGAATTCATTTGTGTCAAAGTAGAATTTTCCAAAAGCTAAGAACATAATTCTCATGTGTTAAAGATTTATTTAATTCATTAATGAGAAAACCAGCAAAATGATAAAGCCAGTGTGTAAAGCATCTGATGAACTTAGTATTTATAGGAACTGATGACAGAATGTTGGATTATGATTGTTAAGTTAGATCTAAAATTGGTTAATGTCCTACAAGGCAATAAAACCATAACCTTGGGGTTAGTTTCTACCAGAAACTAACTACCAGAAATATTAATAATGTCTCTCCTGGACAAAAATATAACACGTTATTATAACATGTAACTTCATTGAGTTGGGGCCTTAATCAACAGTAAATAGTATGTCAAACAATGGCATGATTTCCTATAGAATTCCTTAGGTGGGCCTGTTAAACAATGTTCCACTTTGACATTACAATGACATATTATCATCTTCTGTCTTATTTTCAAGTGTTTGATAATTTTTCTAGACATCTGTGTACAAATGAAATATGTACTCATTGTCAAAAACCTGGACTATATATAAAAGCTTAAAGGAGAAAGTAAAGATCTGCTGCCCTCCCACTGCCTAGATATAACCACTGTTGGCATTTTATACTTATTCTTCTAGAATTTTTTCTATGCCCAGAGAGATTGTAAATAGTTATAGGAGGCTTATGTTTTGCCTTGTTTTTTAAAGAACAGAATCATACTTTCTGAAATATATTGTAACCTAGCTTCTTTTCTCTTAATATACCCTGGGCATATCTCCATGTCAAGAAATAGAGATCTTGGGTTCTGGATTAATACAGCAGATTGAATATATACATATAATGTTGTTCCTCTTGAAACCCTACCAAAACTGCAGATGAAGAGTGAGGGCCCGTGTGGATAAGGAAAATAGGAGAGGAGACAAGAGCAACAAAATTTTGGAAGCTTGAAAATAGAGGGACTAATTTAGCAGATCAGAGACAGCTTTGAATCCTAAGCCAAAAGTAGAGAAAGCTGGGGGAAAAAAATCTGATTTACACCATAATCTTCAAACTTGGCAGTAACATATAGCTCTGGAACGGGGTTGAGAGGGGGGCTAAAATAAGGAAGACTGAATTAAAGATTCTTGAGAAGGAGATAGATCACTAAATCCCTTCCCCTACTCCACACCTCTGAGCAACTGTCCCTCCCCATCCCAAACAGAAGCCTGGAGATTTATTTCCTAAATCCAGGTTTCTCAACCCTGACAGTACTGATATTTTGGACAAGATAATGATTTGTAGCGGAGGGTTGTCCTGGGCATTGTAGCATGGTTAACAGCATCCCTGCCTTCTTCTCACTAGATATGAGGAGCACCTACCCCTCTGCCCCGCCAATCAAAAATGTCTCCAGACATTGCCAAATGTTCCCTGGGTGGCAAAATCACTCCTGATAGAGACCCACTGCTCTAGAGATAGTAAAACAGAGTGTTGCTGGGCCAATTAAGTGACTGAATGCTGAGAGCAGAGACACTCAAGCACTTTTTCCAACTCAGCATTCAGAACTTGGAGGCCAGATCTTTTCCTCCGGGCAAGAGATTGGTAGCCTCTTCTCTGGGCACCCTGACTAACCCAAGATAAAAGACCTAAAATTACTGACAATGAGGAGTTTCCCAACAAATAACCCACCTAGACCATCCTTCGTTGAAGCTTTTAGTGGAGAAGCCCCACACCATGTACTCAGACCTTCCAATCAGTTTTTTGTCCTCCACTATTAATTGTAAACAGGCAGTCAAGGATTACCAGACATAAGAGGAAAGTCTCTAAAGTGGAAGATAATGACAAAAACAAATTAACAGGAAAAATTGGAGTTAGCAAAATATGAAGAAGGAAGAAAGCTAAAAAGTCTTTTTAAAAACCCTCAGAAATTGCAAGGTTATTAACGACCTTGTTCTCGTCTATTGTGCATACTGATGGGCTTTTATTTGCTGCAGCATCACCCCAATTCTCAAATGCCCTACATTCTAGTTAATCTAGAAATTCAGCTTCTATGTTGTTTAGTTTGTGTGGTGAGTGGATTAAATCTTCCACAGCTAAATGTGCTGCAATAAAGAAGAGGAGGCAGTAGGGGAAAAGATGTGGTAAACCATGACAAAATTAAGCCAGCCAAGTTCACAGCAAAATTAGTTTTGTTTAATAATGTACTAGTTTAAAACTAGGGAAACCAGATGTCTTTCTGGTCTGCATCACCTGGTTCTAGAAGTGAGCTGATGCAAGGAACCCAGCACACTAGCAGCACTGACCAGCTGACTCTCAGGCTTGAGCAGTGAGAGCTCACAGGGGTTCCTGGTCGCACAGCACACGGACACATGGGCAGCACATGGCTCTCTGGGAACAGCCCCGGCTGTCAAGCAGGCACAGATGGAGACTAGGCTTTGTAGTGGCTCTAACTAAGGAAGAAAGTAGGAAAATGAGAAAAGGGGAGGCTCCAGTGAGAACAGAAAATAGGGCAGAGGCTTTTGTTTTGTTTTGTTTTGTTTTGCTTTGGTTTTGTTTTTTGGTAAGAAGAAGCTGAGGGAATTCCTTATGTAAACTGTGCAGTGGATACTGTCTTGCAGCCTGAGGGAGATGTTAACAAAGAATACGTCATGGTGCATAACTCTGCATCAAAGGTTTAGGGAGAGAAAAAGGAAGGGGAGTGGATTATTTCAGAAGCCCAGTGTAAAGGAATAGAAGGGTTTAGCTTTGCCATCTGAATTGTTCTAGTCAGATTGTGGGTCAGATGAGTATCCTGATGGCGGAACATGTGGTGACCATTATTTGGGCCAATCTGAATGCTACTCACCTCACCTCATTTCACCTCATGCAGAAGTCATAAGGCTGTGGTCCAGCCTAATATATTCCACTTACATTGCTTTTTTTTAAATGATAAAAAGACAGATGTTTCCTTTATTTTTTAAGTTATTATTATTTTATTTCAAATATTAAGGGGGTACAAATGTTTTTGTTACATGGATACCCTGTATAAGGCTTAAGTCAGGGCTTTTAGTGTGTCCATCACCAGAACGGTGTTCACTGTACCCAATAGGTAAGTTTTTACCCCTCACCTCCTCCCACTCTCCCCACTTCTTGATTCCCAATGTCCTTTACATCTCTTTGTGCCCGTGTGTACCTACTGTCTAGCTTCCAATTATTAGTGAGTACATGTGGTGTTTGTTTTTCCATTCCTGAGATACTTCACTTAGGATAATGGTCTCCAGTTCTATCCAAGCTGCTGCAGTTACATGGCTGTTGACAAGCCTTAAAACACATTAGTGTCTGGCTCATCATTCCATGTCAGGTTTCCCAAAAGCCCACAAGTGAATTTTGAATGGTCACCTTGTCCATCCCTAGAAGGCCAGATCTTCCCTGCAACCACCTCACCTCCAAGGTCAGTCAGTAGTACTGTGACCTCATTGTAGCCAGCACTAAAATGACAAGGAAGGCAAATGAAGCTCCAAATCAGGAAAAAAGCTGGTTGCTGTGGGCCTACCTCAAAGCCCTCAGCAGTGCACAAGGCCCTGTTAACACTGTCATCTTTGACCTCATGATATTGATGTGAGATAGGAGTTAGTAATGATTAAATAGAAAGAAAAGGGGGTGGGAAATGAGAAAAATTAAAGTGAATCCATGAACAATAATGATAAAACTATTTCTGCAATGCACCCCTGAGGGAGTTAAGTAAGCTAAAACAGGACAGGGCTTTAGAACTGCATTTCTATCTGTTACAAAGGTGTAGGTGATGTGAAGCAGACTCACTGAGCACTGGTTACCAACTTCTCTGAGTCTGGTGAGGACAGAACACACTCATATGCAGCAAATTACATGAAGTAGATATATTACTTATGGATATGTAGCAAGGCACAGCGAAGCCGAGGATTCATCAAGAGCCAGTTCCCCAAGGCTCAGGAAAGCTGCCCAAGGTGGATAAAGTCTCAACTGTGCATGCTCCACTTGCACTGCAGCTGAGAGACTCTGGAAAGTAGCCCACCCTGGGTTTTATACCCTGGGGTCTATAATACTCTCTGGGCTAAAGCACTGAAGAACATCCTGTTTCTAGGGAGGACTGGAACAACCCAGCTAGCTGTTTCAGCCAGTGCCCAGCCCCAGCCCCCATCTCAGGATGTTGTATTCCCAGAACATTCTACAGTTATTCTTGAGAATGACAAGCTATTATATGTAATATATATAATATAAAAGGGAGAGAACGAGGTGGTCCAAGGCCACCCAAAGAACTGTCCTGAGCTCAAGTAAAGCTACACAACCTTGTGGGTTGAGAAGGGGATGGGAGAAAGCCCCAGGGCATGCACGGAATTTCTTTCATAATAATATGGTAAAACATTTTACCCAAAAAGTTTATTATCAGAAATGTCTCTAGAGCCTTGATAACACTGGGAGATGAGAGTTAACAATACTTTTGTCTGGTTTTAATTACTGTCATTTTACAGATGGGGAAATTAGAAGTGGAATGATATAGGACATGGGGCAAATGACACAATGTTTCATGAAGTAACTTAAATTCCAGTTCCACAGACTTGTAGTCTAAAGGGAGAGGAGTATGCTATTTGTTAATTCTGGGATTCCCCACGACAGTCCTACCCTTTTAAACCTTTATTTTCTTAGTGCAGCTGGCTAACATGTTTGGAAATTATTTCAGCTTAGAGGTTTCAAAGTGGCCACAAGGAAAATCAATTAGAGGTTTCAAAATGGTCATAAAGAAAAATAATGATCAATGGATCCTATTTTACCATGTATTACAAAAGGTGAGATTCTTGGCACATGGTATTGGCTAATGTGTCACTTATCTATTGGTGTGTAACCAGTCACTCCAAAACTCAGTGGCTTGGAACAACTACCATTTTATTTGCTCACAATTCTGTGAGCCAGCAATTTGGGCTGGTGTTGGTTGGGTGGTTCTGATGGTGGTTGTACCCAGGGTTGCCCATGTAGCTGCTGTCATCTCTTGGCACCACACAGAGCTGGTTGGCCCAGGGGGCCTCACCTGACATAGCTTCCTCCTGCTTTATGTCATCTCATCCTCCAACAGGTTAGCCAAGCTTTTTCACAGGGCAGCAACACATTCCAAGAGGGCACAGGTGGAAGCTGCAAGGCCTCTTGAGGCCTGACTCAGAAGAAGACTATGACTTCTGCCCATTCTTTTGGTCATAAGACAAGTCATAAAACTAGCCTAGATTGAAACGGTGAGGAAACAGACTCTACTTCTTGCTGGGAGTACCTGCAAAGTATTTGTGTCCATTTCTAATCCACTATAACTATATTCTCACAAATAAATAAAAAGAAGAGTTCATAAGAAATAGCTAAATATAGCATAATATTCAGGAAGATAATTTCCCAAGAACCTCTCCTTCTCTTGCAAATATATCCCGAATATTTTTACTATATTTGAAAGCCCTCCCAAGATTCAGAGGCTTATCAGAAAGCTAGAACAAAAATTTGGGCGCTCTTTTTTGGCCTCACCTTCAAAGCAAGTCATTTCTTACTTCATTAGATTTTCATTAATTAATATATCATGAAACTAATTGTTATTAATCCAATGGTTTATTTTGTGGCCTATTCAGATCCTTTTCCTGCTGCCCATCTTTGAGGAAGTTTTCTTTTTCTTGGGATCACCACTAGAGGTGCTAGTGAAATTACTTGACTTCTGAAACAATCAAAACATGAACTGGGGGAAAAAACAACAGTACAATTCAGCAAACATGGAAGAGACAATAGTCAAGCTCTCCTTTGTATAAAGAGCTCCTACTTCAAAAAGAAAAAGCAGATCCCATAGATTAACGGTAAAGGAGAGGAATAATCATAATTATAGCTATTATTTATTGAGTGCTTACTATATGCCAGTCACTGGTCACATACATTATCTTATTTAACCCTAGGGCAATCTTTGGTAACTATTTTACAAACTGAGGTTCAGAGGTAAACTGAGGTTCAGAAAATTTAAGCAACTTGCCTATCGTCACACAACTAGATAGTAGCAGAACTGGAATTCAAGCGAGAGAAAACACTAGTAGTAAGCAATGTGTAAAAAGCCTCAACATAATATATCCAAGTTAGAATATTATTTGAAGTATCATTTATTACCTACCAAATCGTATAATTTTTAATGGTAATGCCCAGTAGGTGGCAAGAGTTCAGTGAAACTAGTTCTTTTGTTGCCGATGGCATCATAGGTAAGTATGATCCTTTTGTGAAACAATGTAAACATGAGCCACAAAACTAGTCATACTCTGTCTTAGTCTGTTTTCTGTTGCTTATAACAGAATACCTGATTTACAAGAAACAAATGTATTTCTTACCTGATTTATAAGAAACAAATGTATTTCTTACAGTTCTGGAGGCTGGGAAGTCCAAGGTTGAGGGGGAGCATCTGGTGAGTGCCTTCTTGCTGTTGGGCACTCTGCAGAGTCCTGAGGTGGTGCAGGACATCACATGGCGAGAGGGCTGAGTATGTTTATAATGTAGCTCAGGTCCCTTTTCCTCTTCTTATACAGCCACCAGACCCACTCCCATAACCCAGAAATCCATTAACCCTTCAATCCATTAATCCATAAATGGATTAATCCCTTCATGAGGGCTGCCCTCAAGACCCAATCACCTCTTAAAAGCCCCACCTGTCGATACTGCCACATTGGGGATTAAGTTCCAACATGCATTTTGAAGGGGACAAACATTCAAACCATAGCATACCCCATTAAGTACACCTTCTGAAATCTATCCTAAAGAAAACAATCCAAAATTTGGAGAAGACTAGATTCATGAACACAGTCATCAAAATGTTTGAATAGTAAAAACTTGGAAACAACTGAAATGACCAGAAACATAGGAATGGTATAGTAAATTATATCTATTAAATGAAACATTTTATAACTGTTAAAGATTATAAGTATGAAGACTGTGAAGTAGTATGGGAATGCATTAATTAAAAAAAAACAAAAAACAGAAAGCAAGCTGGGCACCATGGTGCCTGCTTATCACCCCAGGTACTTGGGAGGCTACTTAGGAGGCTGAAATGATTGCTTGATCCCAGGAGTTTGCAGCCAGCCCCGGCAACCTGGTGAAACCCTGTCTCTTAAAAAAAAAAAAAGGGCAGGTTACAAAATTAATTTAATTACTATACGTACAATTCTGTTAATGGGGGAGCTAGGGATGGGGAACCAGTAAAAAAACACTTCAGAATATTAAAAGTAGTTATGTTAAGGTGATGAATTTGTTTTCCTTTGCTGTTTTTGCTGATTTTTTTAGTAATGTGCTTATACTATTTCTAAAATGTAAAATAACTTCTTTTAAAAAATAAACCAAAATATTTTTTCAGAGAATTAAAGGTAGTTGATTCTCTGAAAGGGAATAACATAATCCCTGCCCAGTGGCGCTGGGCCTATGACCTTGTATCTGGCGGTAAGAATGCTGCCAAGCCATCTCCACCCCTAGTTCCCAGCCCTCAATCCATAAATCCCAACAACATCACCTCAGTCATTGAACATCTCGAGCTTCTGATCTGCAGGTATTGTTGGCTCCTTTTCAGCTCTCCCAGTATCAAACCAAACCTACGACTCTGAGCTCTACCTGCCCTGGACTTTTCCATCACCTCATTGTTCATTTCCTCTACAATTCTGAGGCTGTTTCTCCCCACCCTCAATGACATTAGATCCTCAGAGACCCACATAGCATGGCAGAAATGTTTGAAGGCGTTTTTGTGAGAATAACTTACAATGTTGAACCTTGGTCCTGAGCATGTTCTGGAAACAGGGCATGCTTAGACAATGACAACATCTATTTTTCCAAACTTAAAAAGTATACATTTCAAACTGAAAGGCTTTTCTGCATAATTCTCTTAATTTTATGTTAAAAACAAGAGCCAAGCCTCATGGCTTATGTTTTTTAGAATGTTCAAACATTTAAAATAAGAAATTAAATCCAGTTGGAAAAAAATTCCTTTGGGGAGAGTAATCTAGTTGATTCTGCGGCCAGTCTCAGCTCAGCTATAAATTCAAAAGCTAGACTCTAGTAAGTGAAATAATTTAAGTATAGTTGAATTACCTCTGCAGGACATCTGGGAAAACTTGTGTGATGTTGGAAGCCCTGGCAGAATTTCTCACAATGGGATTCGTGTAGTCTTTGTGGCTTCTCCTCTTCCATCTCCCCTGCTTCCAAACATTTGTCTTACCTCCTTGTCCCTTTCTAGGTTACTCCTTCTTTCTTACATTCAAACCATCAGAGATGTCTAGACTCCTCATAGTAATCTGATCTTGTCTGAGGGTTAACTTCAGGGGATATACATTTTGTAGTTTTGTAACATAAACATATGTTTCCAAATTGATGATGCTTTAGAGGGGATTTTAACTTTAAAGCCAAACTCCATCTCTGTAACATTTCATAAATTGCTCATATTGGAGTGACAGGCATTACTAAAGAAATTTTGATGAAGTTTTCCATCCAAACCAGAGGACTCTTAAATGAAAATAACAGCAAGATCGCAATTTCTATTGGCGCCACTTGAGGCAGACATTTTACTGTTATGACATTATTTGGAAACAGAGTTAAATAACCAACGTGAATTACAAACCCGTCATGTGAAAGCTGGGTGAAAGAATCCCCAAGTGTCCTGATTTCTGTGTTATGAACTAAATGATTGTGTCCTCCAATAATTCCTATGTTGAAACCTAACTCCCAATGTGACGGTATCAGGAAGTGGGGACTTTGGGAGGTAAACAGGTTTAGAAGAGGCCATGAGGGTGGAGCTCTCATGATGAGGTGATGTCCTTATAAGAAGAGGAAGAGACAAGAGTGCTCTCTCTCTCTCTCTCTCTCCCTCTCTCTCTCTCTCTCTCTCTCTCTGCCATGTGAGAATATAGCAAGAAGGCAGAGGCAGATATCTGCAAACAAGGAGGATGAATCTCACCAGACACCAGATCTGCAGGCACCTTGATCTTGATCTTGACCTTGATCTTGGACTTCCCAGCCTCCAGAACTGTGAGAAATAAATGTTTGATGTTTAAGCCACACAGTCTATGTTATTTTATTATAGTGGCCCAGACTGACTAAGGCATTGTTCTTGCCTGAGTTGTTGTTTGTATGAATAACCAGTACTTATTTTGGCTGTGTGTTCAGATTACTGACTCAGCGATAGAGATGCTATCAGCAAAATGCTGTTACCTGCACATTTTGGATATCTCTGGTTGTGTCCTGCTCACTGACCAAAGCCTTGAGGGCCTTCAGATAGGCTGCAAACAACTCCGGATCCTTAAGATGCTATACTGTGGACATATTTCCAAGTAGGTACCTGAATATGAAAAGCTTTGAGAACTACTTTCTGAGAAAACGTAATATATGGCTATGGCATTAGTAATACATAGTGGGCTTTCTGTGTTAGGAAGTTTCACTTTAGTTTTTGCCCAATTGAAGCCAACATTTTGAGTTGAACCAAGGGACACTCTCTGCTAAAATGGTCTTTGTGGTTTCATATCCTTTTTGCAGTAGGCCTTCTACTTTAAGCACCTACCCTTCCTTGACCAAGCAGGTGTCCAAAGCCTTGAGTCTGCCCCTTTGTAACATTATCTCTAGCTCTTCTACTCATCTCTCAAAATATAGTCCATTCAGTAGATCTCCCTAGGGGTTAAGAAAATAATCTGATTAAATTCAGATTAAGTTCACAATTAAGTTTTTCCCTATTCAGTGAGGGCAAAAATATACAAGTAATTTAATTGACCTGATAAAGTAACCTGTGAAATGCTTAAAATGAGAATCCTTGGCGATTCCTTCCCCTGCAGGCTGGAAAAACTAATACTAAGAATCAACATTATTAAAGTATAAAGTGCATAATGTGGTCCAAGCATGTAGATTTCACAGAGGAACTTTCTTAATTAAATAGCCATGGCATGAGCTGAACCATGGAGCTCTGGTCACTTGGGGCCTGAGGAAGAAAATGCTTTCTGATCCAAAGCTGTTTGTGTTAAAATGAAATGGAAAAAAGAAAGAAAGAAAAATTACTTGTAAAAGAGCCACTCCTCTGGGCCCAGGCCTGCAGGGAGAAAAGCAGCCAACTGAAGCTAGGTCAGAGAGAAGAGGGCAGGTTCTTGAAAATTTGTGAAGAACGGTGGAGACTCAACCCTTTCTGATAGGTCTGGAGATAACTCTGATATGAATATTACTAAGATTAACCTCATTTAAAGAACATAACCATGAAATAAAGTCCTAGGAGTCTCTGATAACCTTGTTATATCATTAAACAACCAACTTTGGGCAAGGCGACAGTGAATGAATAATGTGTTACTCAAAAGAGTTAGCTTCTAGCCTTTTGATTGCATTGTGCCGATCTTGAACTTCTATTTTTAGAATTTTAGACAGCATGAATGGAGACTTTTTGACAAGGGCCTCTCTAAACCTAATCATGGTATGATGCTGCAGCTTGAATGTGTCCTAAGTTCATGTGTTGGAAACTTAATCCTCAATGCACCAGTGTTGAGAAGTGGGACCTTTAAGAGGTGATTATGTGGTGAAGGCTCTGCTCTCATGAATTGATTAATGCCATTATTGTGGAAGCAAGTTAGTTATTGTGCTAGTGGGTTCCTGATAAAAGGATGAGCTTGGCCCCCTTCCCTCTCTCCTTCACCCTTTTGTCTTCTGCCATGGGATTATGCAGCAAGAAGGCCCTTGCCAGTTGCTGGCACCTCGATATTGGACTTTCTAGCCTTCAGAACTTTCAGAAATAAATTTCTTTTTAAATTACTGAGTTGGTGGTATTCTGTTATAGCAACACAAAATAGACTAAGACATATGGGATGTTGAAGTGTGATTAATATGGTGTCTGGTCAAGAAGATCCAAGATATCCAGTAATATCCAAATCTTGCCTTTAACTACTCAGTCCTCTTGCTAGGCTGGTAGATAAAAATATGCAATGAAAACAAAACAAGGCAGAGTAAGACTTTACTACTAGCTGGGGTTTGTCCCCAAACCCCAATGCAAAACTCTAATTAACTAGCAAGATCTATGAAAAATTCCTCTAAGCCAGGACAGCCAAAAGGCCTGTTTCGTCTTCTACTACCAAGCATGGCTGTCCCTAATCAGCAAAGGCAGACAGAGACTTGGTCCTAATGCCTGGGGGTGGGAGTGGGGGGTGGCAGTTGGGTTTGGTCTGTGCATCTCTTTGTCTAAAGAGGCTGCACCACCACATTTTAGTGTCCCTGAAGGCTCTACCCCTGCTCTGCTCCAGCAGGAAAGAGGCCTAGAATCTCTTGCTTCTATCTTTGTTAAGCAATGGAGAGCAGTCCTCACTGCGGAGTGGCTTGGAGAGTTACAGTGTTTGGACTAGTAAGGCTCCAGAAACATCTATCTTTATGTCCAACATCTAGGAGAGGGTGCAGCTTATCAGCCAGGGGGCTACTGATATACCTGGGCCTCAAAACTTCGATTAGAGAAGTGGTAAGTCCTGGCCACATGCAGTTGTTTGGGTCAGCTGTAGGGGTTGTAGAGCAGCTTCCTTCTCCACTTAGATCCTTGGGTGGAGTTGGAAGTGAACATTGTATGCAGACACTTCAAAACTCAAGTCCTCAATGATCTCTAATCCTTTAACTACGTTCACTCTCTAACTAGGGCCAATGTGGTTCCCTCAACTGCAGTGGTTTTGTCTTGTCTAGGTAAATTGGAACCTTTGACAACTGGGACAGGGAGATTTTTGCTTGGGAAGAGGTTCAATAACTTTGAATCACAAAGCAATGGACTCTACACACCTGATTCCATTTTCAACATGAAAACATTGTATGATTAAACCCCTAAAATCCAATTACAACTTTCATAAGAAACTGTTTTATGTATAAATTCCCTCATACTCAATGGAATCTGAAAATATTACACCAACTTTGCAAATCAAAGAGGTCTGCTCAGCGCACCCTACCCGAACCAGAGGAGCAGCAAACTTTTGGTCAATGAGCAAATTGGCTATAGCTCTTCTGCAAAAGAGTTTGTGGATAAAGATATAGCTGTCATTCTATTAATACCAACCCCAGAGTCTGAAGGGCTTCCAGGAAGTGACCCCAAAAGCCCCATGTGTATGCAAGATAAAGCCTCCTTTATTTTAAGGAGGAATAAATAACAACTATGATCCTAAAGCATGACAAGAAAATGTAGCTGTCTGTATTGAAGGAATTGTATAATAGCCAGCCACTCAAATTATGGCACTCTGTGGGGATAGCAAGAAAGGCAATGCAGTGGCACAGAGAGTGGGAGACAGGGAGAAAGACTCTCGCAGTGGCCCCTACAACTCAGGAGGGTTTGAACCACAGAGAAGCTGAAGAACAATTAAATCTATAGTTAGCAAAAAGTAAAAGGAACCTTTCTGATATTTTTGTGTCTGAAACCCAAAACTTTCAACTCTAGAGAGATCAGTAGAGAAAGTCTTGGCAGCCTTCACAGCCCCAAATAACAGTATAAAAATTCCTTGAAGGCCTTCTTTAGCAGTTGCTAGTAGCATAAAGTCAGGCAATCCCTACTGCCCAGGCATCCTGAGAGATCTGTGTTGCTAGGAAATAAAACTCTTCTCAGAGTTCTCTCCAGCTCATGGGAAGGTCAAGATTTTCTGATCTGGAGGTGTTGACTTTTATTATTAGTATGAACAAATAATGCTATTTAACAATCATTATTTGCTGTATACTGTGCTAAATCCTATTTTACATATATTATATAATCCTCACAAATACCCTACCATCATAAAAATGGATGAGGAAACTGGTTTAAACAGGTTAAAAACATGCCCGAGGTCTCACAAATAAGAGGCAGAGCCATGCTTTGTACCTAGATCTTAATCCTTACTCTTTTGTCTTTAGATTTTCCAGCTTTTTTAAAGCTCTGACATCTAAGGATGGGGTCAATACGGGCTCTGTTGTGCCCAATTTACTGTCTGATGCACAATAAGAGAGGCTGCTGATTACGATTACGATTACGAGCAATCTTTGGTGATGACTCCAACACTCCCCTTTTTAGCCTACTCAAGAAATTAGAAGGAAATGTGAGGGCAAGTAATGTTACTACAGAGTTAACCTTGAATCTCTTTCAATTTATCAAAAACAAAAATCACAAACTTCAGACAGCATTGTTATTAACCATCTAATGTGATACTTAACAAATGTTTGTGACATATCATGTTTGAAAATTACTGTTCTACATGATCCAAAGAAATCTCTCTCACCAGGTTAAATGAGTAATGATGACTAACCATTACTCATTATTCAGTAGACTGGTTCAATTCCCAAATCATTTCATACAGGTCTTGCAGTCACTCAGTCCAAGGCAGAATGGAATGTATTAAAAGGATTCCATATGTTCTCGTAGGAACTTATAACACACAGTGGTTCCTAAGTATACATTTTCTTTTCAGTACTTCCTAGCTCCCATATGCTGACCATACTAGAGCAACAAGCTATTAGAGAGAGAAAGAGAGAGAGAGGGAGGGAAGGAGTAAGGAGTGTGTGTGTGTGTGTGTGTGTGTGTGTGTATGTGTGTTTGTGTGGTGGGGGAGGGGGGAAGAGAGAGAGAGAGAGATGTTTTTGGCAGGAGCATTTAGTTTCTGCATTTTCAAGTTTCCTGATACTTTTCAGAAGTGCATTCTTTTTGTGTGCAAACATATAGCTACATAGGATGCTGTGATAAAGAACTCAGAAAAACTTCCTGGCAGTCACCATGCTGATCTGTTCTCTTGGCAAGGTCCTGAGTCTTAGGTGAGTCAGTCCATGTGAGGATGCCAGAGGTCCTGGTGAGGTGGTGAGGACAGCGAGTTCAGGGGCTAAGGGTTTTCTGAAGGGTAGGGGAGAAGTGGAATAGGGGACAGTCTACACTAGCATTCAAATGCCTCTAAAATTAATCCCAGATTTTCTCTAGGACAGATCCAGATTCTCAGTTTTTCCCCCAAGACCATCCTTGCTGTGAAAGGACCTAGGACTAAAACAGGCCCTAGAGACACACCAGATTAGAAGAAGCCTTAACCTTCTGGCACTAGAGCCTGGCGGGGAGAGTCTGAGACCTGATCCTTTGCTCCCCTCCAGTCAGTCAGCATCTGTTCCAGTGGTCAGGGACCCACTGATGTTTAGTTTCACTGAAGATGACTGTGGCTGGGATGGAAAGCAGTGCTCACCACTAAGAGCTAGAGTAAGGGTGGGAGGGCAGGTAACCAAGGAATAAGCAAATTTAAGAAATGCACACACCGTTGGGCATGATGATTCTATCCCATCGCATTACATTAAATGAGTAGTCACCCTATTCACTCCCTATTTTCCTTATCTATATTGAGGAGTCAACATCCCCACCTTTCTTTTTCTTGTCTTCTTAAATCCCCACTATTTGCAAATTGTTTTTATATCACAATTACCACCTAATTTACCCTGGCTTGTTGCTGACTGAGGAACCAACTGTATGATCTAGTTATTTACACATCCCCAAACTTAGCATTAAGAGTACTTATCCTCTTACCAATTATCTAGAACTCTCAAAAACTGTTGCTGTTCTGAAGCTAAAGGTAAGATCGACTTTGATCAACTAATACTTGCAAATCTTTTACTCCCTAAAACAAGTATTTCCTTTTCCTATAGGTCAAGACCATTATTGCCGTTAACTGTAGTACTCTTGTACTAGTCAATGTCAGTGGCATCAAACCATTATGAATCACTGTGAACTGCAGTATGTGTGTCAATGCTCTGCTGTTTTGGAGGCAGGGGGCAGGAGGGTGTTCGAAATAGGAACGTAAGAATGCCTCTTCTAGACCAGCAAAGCAGCAGAAGCCAAGAGGGTTAAAGAACTTCCCTTCTTGGTATAAGCTGATGAAATCTCTTATTTTGGCTACTAATGATAGGTTTCAGGGAGATACAAAGAAAGGTATAATAATATGCCCTTAAATAACTTACTGCCTTCTTCAACAAAAGGAAAATAACAAAGTTCAAAATTATAAATAATTAATGCCATGAAGCTATGTATTAAAAAGAAATTAATTCTATGATTAATTTCCTATAGATGTTCAGAGGAGGAAGGGATTGGGGTTGAGTCTGTACAAAAGATCCTGGATTGTTTGGAATTTTGAAAAATGGATAATGTTCAGACAGGCAGAGATGGGGTAAGGAGTCAGTAACAATGGTGCTGTGTTGCCTAGGATAGTGTTTTACTCATATGAAACCAAAAGTGTCAATGCTTTATGCCTCATATTCCCTCAACATTTGGTATTATGTTGTGGTAAGTCCTTGGGGGGAAAATCTTCAGAAAACACCTTGAAAGATATGGTAATCTCAACTCCAAAGAACTGAACAGGGAGAAATATCAGGAGGAGTATATGGGAAAAATAAAAGATATAAGCCTATTATTAATATTTTTGCTTAATAATGTTCTACTTAGAGGAAGCATAAAGATTATATAAGAGGTTTGAAATGTTGGACAGCACTGAAAAAGATAAAAAAATTAATAGAATGCAAAACATTATCTTTGACCACAAACTTATCATTTAAAATTTGAGAATAAATATTTCTCTAAAGAGAAGAAACTTGTTTGCCAAGTTTTAGTCCATAGGGATTGGTGGCTCCAAACTAGAAATTAGTATATGACAGTTGCTTTTACTCAAATTGTTCTTTAAACTTGTAGAAGTTTTGTATGAGAGCAAATATATAAGCCAGAAAGCAATGTGGTAAGAGAATTAGCAATGCTTTGGTTGTCTCCCTGTTGAGTTTGATTACAATCATTTCAACACATCTAAGGTTTGATTGAAATGAAACAGCATTTTAAACTGATATATCTCTGCTTTTTCCAATTTCATTGTCTTACCTGAGCTCACATGGCCATTTAGCATAAACATAACTCCAAGTGCATGGCGATGCCAGCTTCACGTCAATGACTCAGTTTCCAGACTTTTGCAAATAACTCAATGTAACAAAGAGCAATTGTGGGGAAAGTAGTCCCTTCATGGGTAAACATCACAGTTACTCATTTCTAATCCTATAGATGTGGCCAATTCCTCATTTCTTTTTAGTACTAGTCTGGTGATTTGAACCAAAGACCTAAGAAAGGAAGTTGTTTCTGTCTTCAAAATGGCTTCGTTTTCAAGTTAGACCTACTTTTTTTCCTGATACCTTTGTTGCTTCCTTCCTTATTTCCTCTTAAGAAAGACTATAATGGTATTTTTCATCATTTTGGTTATGGATACCTTTGAGTCACAAACCTTCTCAGAAAAATGTGTATTATAGACAAAACTGTATGGACTTTCAGGGAGTTCATCAACCTTTCTGAAGTTCATTCATGTATTCAAAAGGGATCTGTGAATTCTGGGTTAAGAGCTCCTGCCCTGGAACATGGTCAGTCTTCACAGTTTGGCTGGTTAGGTTACTCCCTCATCAAAGAAACTGGAAATACCAGGCAGGGGACTTTCTGAAAAGCAGTGTAAATAGAGTGACCTCAGGGTTCCCACTCCATGGCCACATGCAGTTTCCTTACCCATTCACTGTGTCAATCTCTGAACCAGCTGAACCAGAGAGCTACTTAGGCTTTGGGACCCTATTTATTTGCACAATTTCCCACACCCTCCCTCTCAGCAAGAGAGCTCAGAGAGCTTCAGAGAGCTCTGAAGTGAAATTGACTTGTGACAGTGAGTTCTCTAATTCCAAATTTGGTTTAGTTTGACAATTCTGAACTGGGGATTACTTCTGCAACTAGCTAATGCTAATCACTGTTATTACAGGGAGGCAGCTCACAGAATGTCATCTGTAGTTCAGCAGCAGGAATATAGCTCTAATGACCCTCCACGTTGGTTTGGATATGATTGTGAAGGCAATCCTCTTACAGAGAATCAGGATAGAACACCATCTAAAGAGGTCTTAGAATTGACACTGAAAGAGTCCCTACTCAGTAGTGAAGAGGAAGAAGTATGACCTTCAGCCTTAAGCAGGAAGAACAAAAAATGTAGAACTTGGCAACTTTTTCTTCTTTTGATGCAAGTATTTTAACTCAATAACAATAAAAACAAGCAACAAATCATCTTCTGATTGTTATTCCAACTGCAAATGTTTGTAAATACATCATTAGTCCTTGTGTCTAACTAATCATTATTTAAAAAAAAAGAAGCCAAATCAAGTACTATGCCACTATGCAAATTTTCTACCTAAATTTAACTGAATCAAACCAAAAGTTTTGATGAGCTTATCAAATCTAAAGTTATGGGTATATGAAACAACCCTGAGAGATGTGACTTTTTTTGACAGAATTTAGAAGCTTGTCTTTAGAAAGAAAAAAGAAAGCAGAGATGGCCATGTAAGTCAAAGAAAGAGTTTGAGCCAGGATGATGACTTAAGGATCTGTGAAGCTTCATTATAGAGAACATAGACATATATTTTCAAAGGGAACAGGGCTTTCTTGTGATTTCCAGACATGTAACAACAAAATAGAACTAAATTCCAATTAATGCTGGATTCATCTCAACATATTAACAGTCAGGAGAAAATTAAATAAAAACAAGAACTATCTGTGAATAGAAAGGAAGTCTCTGCAATGTCTCAGAAATATCTCTTTTTAATCAAATTTGCACTATGGAGGACTTTTTAAACTATGCTCTGTCAAAAAGGATGTTCCCTCAGTTTTATGCTAGGAGGTATGGGTTATTTATTGCATATCTGCATATTAATTTTTACTAAGTTTTCATCCACATATTTTTATCATTATTTGTTATTATATAACACTGAGGTTGACAAGCATCCAGGACAAAACACAACCCTGTTCTGACTGCCACAAACAAGCTGCGTCAGTAATATTAGATCAGTCTTTTAACCTTTCCATTTCCTCAATTACTTGCCTCTTACATGGGGTTAATCCCTTTTTGTATCCCACAAGTTTGAAATAAGGATAAAAACTTAAAGGATGTGAAAGTTATTTTGAAAAGTTTTAAAGGGCTGTATAGAGTAGTATTATGAGGTACTTTGTATTAACTAAATGCTTTTAATAATTCTCTCCCTTTTTAGGTTGATTTTGAAAGTTTTTTAAACAAGATAGTATCACTTAGCTGTGAAAAGGTTCCTGGGAGTGGACATGCAGGCAGGGGAATCAGTAGGAAGTTTTAAGACCTCAGCCAAGAGACTTAAGATGACTGTTAAAACAGTACAATTTTTAACTAAATTTGGAGATTTCTGGTAGCTGCATAGAAGTTGGCTTCAGAAGTATGATCTGTAACTGTCTCATGCACAGAACTGGAGAGACCTATAAAAGAGGCAACTGCTTTCTAATGCAATAATTTCTGCACAGGGAAGACCAGGGTAAGGAGAAACACACCTTATTATGTTCTCTAATAACCCCAGCAGGTTGCTTTACTGCTGGAAGTTTGCACCAAAACTCTTTGAGTAACATGCTCTTTTAAACAAGAGTGGGAAACACATTCATTCATTCTGGGGAGACAAATTTTGTAGCTACATAAATAAAAGGGGTAGGTGTTAGAAAAAGCGAACTGTAACAGGAGAGCAAGAAGTAGAGCAGACAGGTAGAGAAATCTTTAAATTCTCAGTGCAAAGTATTCAAAATATCAAAGATATTACTTAGGTCTTTGGTCCTTAAGTATTTGATATACATGGGTCTGTGCACAAAAAAGTAAAATATGGCTGCTTTTCCTTTGGCAGCTTTCTGTTTGGGACTTAAAGTGATCCAAATATGTATAATTCCATTAACAATTTTAAATATAGTTGACTTCTGTTATAGTCATGATCTTTCTGGCTGTAGTTGGCTAATTTCATCAACTTTATTTTTAGTCCTGAAAATACATAATTGCATAAGGGTGAAAAAAGATTATAAAAATTGTCTCATTGCCTCACACTTTCCTCTACTTAATAGTATAACACATACATCACAACCATACCAAATATACCAACATGTGAGTATCTGTCAAACTTGTATACATTTTAATTTCATGAATGGTGAACTAAAAGGAGACTTTGAGATATCCCATAAGGCCTTTTATTTCATAAATAAGTTAAAAATCAGAACTCTAAAGAAATGGAATATTGTTAATAACAAAAAGACTATATAAATCACAATTTTGGAAAGTTTTATTAAAAATCAGTGCTTAAGAATTGATTTTATTCTAATCATAAAAATTATAATCCAATAGATAGGTGTATTCAGTGTTGTATAATTTAAATGTTCCAAGACTAGGCAAGGTTTGAAAGAAATGGAATTCATAAAATGACTTTATGCAGTACACCATTATATTATAAAAGTGAAAACCTATTTTCATACATCAGGCTGTAAAATAGCTGAATGTTTCTTCCCCGCTAATGCGCTATGTCTTAAATTACACAAAAGATATTAACAATCAGTAGCAACTGATTTACATTTATAAGTCTTTTATTCACAGCTCAAATTTACATTGATGCCAAAGAGGTGCAAAGTAGAAAACCTGTCACATGAGAACTATATAGTACAAAGAATTCTAAGATATCCACCCCCCAGCCCCGCACAAACACACCAATGCTTTTGTATAATCTCCTCCCCTTGAGTGGGAGTAGAAATTGTGCATTTGAAGAGATAAGAGATATCACTCCCATGATTATGATACATTATATGGCAAAACAAAGATTATCCTGGATGGGCCTGACCTAATCAAGTCAGCCCTTTAAAAGCAGAGATTTCTCCAGCTGGTAGCAGAAGAAGCAGTCAGATATTCAAACCATGAGAAGAACTCAATGTATCATTGCTGGCTTGAAGGTATAGGTGGCTTCTAGAAGCTTAGAGTGATTGCTGGCTGACAGCCAGCAAGAAAATGGAGACCTCGGTCATATCCAGTCACAAAGAACAGGATTTTGCTAATAATCTGAATGACTTTGGAAGCAGATTTCTCCTTGGAGCCAACAGAACTCAGCCTGGCCAACACCTGATTCCAGCCTTGTGATACCCTGAGCCAAGAACCTAGTCATGCTGAGCTCTTGACCTATAGAACTATGTGGTAAGTAGGTATTATTTTATGCTGCTAAATTTGTGGTAATTTGTTACAGAGCAATAGAAAATAAATACCATAGCTAAGTACAAATTTTGAAAAAGTCCCCCTAAAACAACCAGTATTCATTCTCATTTTGTTGTTTTCAACATTTACATTAACAGTGGTCTTACATTTCTGTAATCAAAGATCTGCTAATTATTGTTAAAAATCATAAATACAACTCAAACCAGATTTAGTCCTGCAGGTTCAGGGACTGAAACCAGCTTTGCCTTCTAAGATTGACAGTGCCTTTTGGGGCATCAGCCTTAATCCATTTTTCACATTTGTCTGCTTGATTCATGAGTCCTAAAATGCAAAATTGCATAAAGTTATATCAACAGCAATATTTGACCATATAAATTCCAATAATACATCTCTAAAACTGAGAAACACCCTAGAACACCAAAAATCTTAGTAAAAATAGCTTGAGTTGGGAAAGAGTTGCAAAGAGATTATCTGGGCTTGCTCTCCTCCTTTCATTTTCTTAGAAGTACTTTGAGAGGGAAGCTATTCTGTTTTTAATTTGTACAGGATGAGTATCTCTTACTAGAAATGCTTGGGACCAGAATTGTTTCAAATTTCAGACTGTTTTGGATTGTGGAATATTTGCAGAATACATACCAGTTGAACACTCCTAATCTGAAAATCTGAAATCCGAAATACTCCAATAAGCATTTCCATTGAGTGTCACGTTGGTGCTCAAAAAGTTTTTGATGTTGGAGCATTACGGGTTTTCAGATTAGGGATGCTCGACCTATATGATTTTTTAATGAAGGTTTAAAAAAGAGCTTTATTGAAGTATAGTTGACAAAATAAACTGCATGTATTTAAAATCTACAATGTAATGAGTTTTGACATATGTAAAAATCTGTGAAACCATGTCCTCAATCAAGATAGTGAACATATCCATCATGCCCCAAAGCTTCTTTGTACCCCATTGTAATCTTTCCCTCATGGCCTTCCCTGCTTGTCACCGTCCAATCCCCATCCCCCAGCAATCACTGATCTGCTTTGTGTCACTATAGATTAGTTGCATTTTCTAAAATTTTATATAAATGGAACTGTCAGGTTTCAGTCTGAAATGCCAGTTCTTGGTGCGCTCATGGTCGAAGAATGACCAGACACACCAAAGTAAGGCAAGTATGAAAATGAGGTTTATGGAGAAGAGAAAGAGAGGATTATAGAGCAAGAGCAAGATATAGGTTTATAGAGCATGATACACATACACCACAGATGACTACCAGACCCATTGTTGTAGCAAAGGGAGAACAAGGGGAAGGGGCAGAAAAAGGGCCTGGTTATGGTCTGCATCTTGTTTTATAGCGCCTGGACTGGGACCTCCCTGTGGTTCAAATGTCACCATGGAACCAGTTTGATTGGACAGTTGGGAGTTGCATGACTTGAGCCTTAACTACGCATACAGGTTGTTCTAGTTCAATTTCTGGAATCTATGGTACCTATGCTGCTTGGCCTGTGGGCTAGAGAGTCCTCTGCATTCTTTTGCAGCTGGCGTGGTAAGTTATGATTGGCAGATTCATAGGGTATTCCCTCCTACCCCAAGTATGTCAGTTGCTCGACTTATTGATAGGATTAAGGTAAGGCAGGGCCAAGATGAGGGCATGGGGCCCACCCTTGTCCTTCTTCCCAGGTGGGGCAGTTGCACCAAGGCAAGACATCCACTTTCGCCTAGGAGACCCAGAATCCCTGACTATCTACCTAACAGAATCATATATTATGTACTCCTTTTCTAAAAATCTGTCCCCTTCACCCTCTGGAGGTTCCCTGAAAAATCAACTCACAAAAGGCAAATTAATTGGAGAAAAGGCATACAAATTTTATTAATGTACACTCAGGGAGAACCACAGAGTGATTTACCCAATGGGATGCTGAAGCTTATATACCATCTTGAGGTTA